CGCCGGTGACCCACGGCGGTCGCCGGGGCTCTCTCCTTGCCCCGCGCACCGGGGCCGGACACCGCTCCCCCCGAGGTCCCGGAGCACCCAACCCGGGCCAGCCGGCAGAGCCCCGCTGCTTTCCGCGGGTACCGGGGCTCGGGAGGAGGAAGCCCGGAGAGACGCACTCGAGGCCGCCTACGGAGGCGCGTAACGGGCTCCAGACCCCGGCACAACCCCGCCCAGGTCGGACCCCACCACCGGGCTGCTGCCGCGGCCCAGCGCCCGGCCGGAGCCCCCGGCGCGGGTGCCGCTCCGGGGCAGCCCCAGGGCGGGCGCGGCGCCGCTGCCAGGGCGGCTGGTGGGAGCGCTCCCCGCACCGACCCTGCCCCCCCCCCCCCCCCCTCCCCTTCCCACGCACCTGCGACAGCCGGGAGGCGGGTCCCGTGCGCGCACCTGTCGCGACTAAGGCAGCGACTGCACCTCCGCGCCGGCGGCGACGGCGGGGAGCTGCGTCGGCCCCGCCCCCGGCCCCGCCCCGCTGCCTCGGTGCACGCCCCCTCGCCGGGGGGGTGTGTGTGTGGGGGGGGGGAAAATGGTCTTTCCCAGCGCATGCGCATCCCCCCGCCTCAGCCCGGCCCCACAGCGTGTTCCCTGCGCGCGTGCTTCCCGCCCTTTGCCCGGCGGTGCTGAGGGCGGTGGGTGTGGGCGGTTGCTCGATGGTCTCCGCTCTTGTGGGAGAACGGGGGTTTTCCGCGTTTTCCGGCCCCCCTCTGGGCTCCTCTCCGTGCAGGTGTGTCCTGGCAGTTGGTATGTACAGCCTAGAGCACCGCAAGGGTGGGTTGGGGCTTCGAGGGCCTGCAGGCTCCTCCTGACTCAGGCGAGGTGAGGGCGGAATGAAGGGATTTGAAGGCCCAGCTTGTCATCTCTTCCAGAAATGACGGCGTGCCCCGTGATTCACTGGTGTCGGGAAGGTGCTAGGTTGTAAGAAAGGGCTGTGCACTGAGCAGAAGGACTGTCTGTGCTGGGAGTTGGGGTCCCCGGCAGACTCAGTTTTAAAACAAGAAAACGGGTTTTCAGCAGCCAAACTAGATAACCTGCATTCCTGAGATACTGGAAAGTTTGTGTACATTCATTAGCATGACACGAGTGCTGGCTCTCTAGCCAGCACAACAGCTCCTCAAGATGTTTATCTGAACAAGCTACTTTCAGGAATAGCTTTAGGTGTTTCTTTCCATGTTATTCTTCATAATGTGTAAAGTACCAAATTCTGGAGTTAAAATAATTGCAGGTAATCAGTGTTACAGCTCCATCTCCCCACCACTGCTGTTAATCAGGCTGAGTTTAACATGGTCTTTGTAATACCCACAGCTCACTTCTACTCTGAGCTGTCCCAGATTCCCAGCCTTCTTGTTTGAGCTTGCGGAGCGACTCAGCAGCTTCCACCAGATCCCCTGACCATTAAGACAGGAAGTGACCAGTTAGTATGCTGGTATTACTTTTATTGCAATCTCAGCACTGACATGCGAAATTTACTTGTTCCAGTAAAAAGCCTAAATTATGGCCCAGAAAATACATACACTTTGTAAATTACAGGCTTCATAGCTTAAACAGCTTAGCATCTATATACTGGAGGGTTGGAGGTATGTCCAGGTGGAGCAGATCTGACGCTGTTATTAGAGCATGTTAGATAAATTTACATGTGCTGTTATTAAATGCATGACTTGTACAGGAAATTGCATGTTTATCTAGGTTATGTGAGCAGGACATTTCAAGCTTGATTCAGCTGCCTAAGCAGAGGTATCTGCTGCCATTTCAGTTACCCTCGACTATCTGAGACATCAGCACAGGCACTGGCTTCCTGCCTTTTTCTGGTGATGGGAACACCACGGGAGATCTCAAACGATACTAGCTGCCAATGTTTAGGCACTTTTAGCAAGCCATTCCCGCTTTACTGATGTGCAGCCTCATCTGTAGAAATGCTGTAGTGATTTGTTTTGACTAAGGGTTATACAGAAAATCATACTATTTCTGTAGACTTAAAGATTTTCAAAGTGATAAGTGTCATTCTTCTCTATGAATACATACTTACAGAAGTGATCATTTTAAGAGTTGCATACATGTGATGGAGTAGTTACTTGGAAATGTTGGGAATAGAAGATAGACTGCAGTAGTGCCTGTAAGTTTAATTATCCAAGTATTGAGGATAAAATGATGCATCTCACTACTTACGTACGTTACAGCAGATCACAGACTGCTAATCAAAATCAGTGATGAATAATAACATGGAAAAAAAAGTCAAACTGTGCATCAAAGACAGTGAAAAGCCTCAGCCTCTGTGCTTATGCCACATGTGCAGCTTCCTCTCCTCAGCAGTGTCCGGCTGTGCTGGTTTCGGGAGAGCTCCATGTGGCAGAGGGATCTGCCTGTAGGATTAGTGTCTAAATGAGGCCATGCTGTAACGTGAGGCATTGCACACAACAGCAAGGGTGAGTTGAGAAACAGAGGAGAGTAGCAGTTAGAAGATACCACGTCGCCTTAAGTAATTGTGTGTAAGGTTTTCAGGATTTAATTTAGAATGTTAAAAACATCCTTCTGGATCAGAGCAATGACGCCTTTAGCCCAGTAGTCTGTCTCCAGTGGTGGCAACAGGAGATGCTGTTTGGGCAAGCATGGGAGCTAGGGTACTTGCTGCTGTCTGTTTCCCTCTCCAGCATCCTGAATATAGAGATGTTAAAGGGTGCGTCCTTGCCCTTTTAGCAGCTGTTTATGGACCTGTTGCTTGTGAATTTAATCAGTTTTAAACTTGTTGATAATGTCTATGGAGTATTCTGTGACACCAGGTTCAAGACTTGTGTCAAAAATACTTTCTTCTGTTTTAAGCTAATCTTGTAGTTTCAAAGTGTGCCTCCTTGTTATTCTATAGCAGGATTCATGAATATCAGGTCTACATTCACTTGTTCTACTGCCTTCGTGACTTTGTAAACCTCAATAAGATCCTTCTCAGCCACCTTTTCTCTAAATTGAAGTGTCCCAGCCTTCTTTGTTGTTCCTTATTGAGGCAGCTCATCCCTCCCCTCCTCTGGACCCTCTGTAATTCCATCATATTCTTCTTGAGCAGTTGCGGCCAGAGCTGCATTTCAGGTGCGAGTGCACTGCGGATTTCTGTAAAAGCAAACAGAGGGCTTTGGCCTCACCTCAGTATCCTTCCTGAAAGCAGCCAACCTTCAGCTGGCTTTTTTGGCTTTTGTTGCACCCTGAGCCACTGGCCTCAGAGAACTGTCAATGATGATGCCGTGATCTCTTTCCTGAGTTGCAGCTGACAGCTCTGAGCTCAGCGTTGATTTAAAATGTGTTTTCTTATGTTTTGGTAAGAGGTTGTTGTGAATTGCAGGTATAAAGGGTGACAAGTTAATAAGATGTGAACAACCTGTTCCGGGAAAATAATCTCAGGTGTAATTATTAACACATTTATGGTGCTTGTTTCTTTCAAGGGTTGGCATCTTTCTTAGTGTTACTCTTAAAGCAATAGAATGCAACTCTGCTAGTAGATTTATATAAGAGAGGAAAATCCAAAGAAATATTTTCTGTCTTCTTAGTCCTCCCCTTTGGATATTTCATCTAAGTGTCCTGCTTTTGGCATAGCAGCACTTCCTGAGGGAGTCTGCATTCTCTGACTGATTCTCTGACTTGGGGTTGCTGAACTTCCTACAGAAGAGGCCCAGCACTAGCAGATAGGGTAAGACAGCTGCTGAAGAAACACAGTGGTATGGACAAGGCTCAGACACCCACATGGCTTTTTTTTTTTCTTATTTTTGAGATCTCCACCCAACCAGTGAACTTCATGTGACCCCTCCCAACAGCACCACTGGTTTGTTTAATCAGTGATTAAGCTGGAATTTTACTTCCATTTCCAAACACGCTCTGTCAGTCCTTATATTCCCTTTTTGTTTTTTAATAAAGCCAAGGCAATAGGAGAATACTAAGGAGGCAACACACATCAGTATTAGATGTGGTGACTTTGGGGCTGAAGCAGAAGCTTTAAGCCTTGAGGAAAGCCATTATTCCAGAAAGCAAGAAGATATGACCTAGTATCTCTTAAACCTCAGTTACTGTACAAGTGCCCCTCTCAGGTCCTGAGCCCTTTCTAAGCGCTCATTCAGTCAGATGATTTAGGACTCCAAGATTGCTTCTTCCCATAGCACATGTGTCACCTTGACCAAGAAAAACAAACCTTAACTCTCTGAGTGAAGTACAATAAAAAATATGTGGTGGTATTTTATAAGATCAGTGCAGGTTTTCTCTGTGGTGTGTTCCTTTTAAAAAATACTTCTTGTTTTCTAACCATCGGTGAATGCAGGGTTGAATCCCCAATAATGACTCCATAAGCTCCTTTCTGAGTGGGAAGAGCTAACTTTGACCCCATCGTTGTCTAATTATAGTTAGGCTTGCTTTGCCCCTGCATCTTTGTATTCGTTAGCATTTCATTTTGTCTGCAGTTTGAATGCCGGCGTACTTGGCACTGTGAGATCCTTCTTTGGCTCTTCCCAGTCAGCTTGTATATCCTGAATAATTTGTATCATCAGTCAACTTTGACACTTCATTGTTTACCTCTTTTTCCAGCTCACTGGTGACTATATTGTACCATTTGGGTCTCAGCACAGATGCATGCTTTATTCTAGCACTACACATTGGAGGATTATAAAGCAAAAGCTGCTGTTACTTCATGATGAAAGAATCCCAACCTCCTTCCAGTACAGCAACACCGTTTCCGAGCGGTACCAACAGGACGGCCTGCTTGCAACCCCAGTGTGTTGCAAGCCCCTTTTTGTCTGCAGGTAACTTTAACCACATGGTTGCTTACTGTGAGCTCTTTCATTCTCGGACAGAGTTGCTTCTTTTTCTTGAATTACAGAATTCATTCTCACTCAGCCCTCTTGGGAACTGAAAAAGATATTGGATCTACCCGATGAACACAGTTATGGATTTCTTCCCTTTTGTACACATTCCAGGTTATTGCAAAGGCAACAGATAGAAGGGATGAATAGATTCGCTGCAGGATGTATGTTCTGTGTGGGACAAAGCCAGATCTGCTGAATCGCTCGTCGAGCCCTTTCCTGGCAGCTCGTGGCTGTTCTTGGCATCAGCGGTTGGAGCTCTAGCCTTTGGAGCATGTAAACCTGGGTTCCCATCCGAGAGGCTCCACTTAAGCACTCCTCTAACAAGTGAGTATTTCATGGCCCCTAATCTAGTGATTTGATTTTGGATCTATCTAATTAGCACTCATTAGGTGACTCTTGCATTATTAGAAGTTCAGGAAGCACCATGCCCACTTTACAATGGGCGAAGGGAGGAACAGGAATTTGAAATGGCTGTTGAGTAACCAGTACCAGAGCTGGGATTAAAGTCTAGTGTCCTAGCCCTACTTTTTAGGCATTACGTGCTTTTTCTTACCAAGACAGTCATGTAAAGATTTAAGTGCCCTGGGGAAGAATAATGAAATATGGAAAAAGAGAGGAGAATAAAAAGGTGGGTGGCTCTGCAGCGTTCCTTTGGAGATCACCAACAAGAATATTTCCCAAACAACTAATGAGCTCTTCCTTATTTTTGCTGTCAATCTGTCTTCCTGAATTGGTGTGTCTGGTGCAATGCAGGGCTGGGGAGATGAACTGATTAATGCCACTGGTTTTATCCGTCTCTTTCCTGGAGTGTATCAGATGTTGTGAGGCCCTTTGGAGTTAATTGCCTTTTGAAAGACAGAATTGCAGACCTGACTGCTGAGGTACTGTCACTAGCACAGGTCCTGGCAAAGGAAAATGTCTCCTGCCAAAAGCTGATGTCTCAGATGCCTTTTGCTAAATAAGGGACTTTTGGTGGAGTTAAACATTAAACATCCTTCACAGCTCTCATCTGTTCAAGGTCCAAGAGGGAAGCCATGCTGAGTCAGCCTGGCAGCAGTATTTCCTGCTCCAGCTCTCTTGTGTGTGGTTCACTGGTTCCTTCTCTCTGCCAGGAAGTCTTAGTCCTGGATGAGACATTAAGAAGGCGGCAGAGGGATACTTCAGCTCTCTTGCACGACGCCATTGGAGATCATCTGATAACTTGATACCCTGGCGTGTTTCCTGGCTGGCCTACACATAACCTCGGTGCAACAAGAAGGGAAAGTCATGGGTACCAAAGACCCCCCTGAGCTGCACAAGAATTTCCTTCAGCTGTTTGCAGCGCCGTGCTCATGCCACACAGCAGTCCTGTGCTCCTTCCAGGCAGCACTGGGCAATGGGCTGTGAATTCATAGGGCAGTGTATCGTTGCCTTGCTGTTCCCTGCGGGGATTTCTTTTATATGGGTGCTTTAAATTAAAAGGTAAATCCTTTTAACTGTGGCAGTTTAAAGAGAGTGGCCCGGTAGCAGGGAAGGAGGGTAGGCAGACAAGAAGGGCTGTTTTATTTAATACTGTTGCCACAGTATATACACTCCAGCACTGCCAAGTCTTTGGGTGTAGCTGGAGCCTGACATGGGAAATTGATTGTTCAGTGCTGGCTGCCTCTTGGAGCTGGAGCTCTGTGCTGTTTGCCTCACACTGAAGTGTGTTGGAATAAGACTCAGCGATTGCTGCTCATCAGCTCAGAGGCTGCCCGAGGCACCTATCCCACGCTGGTGGGACTTAGTTTTGCCTGGAAAGCAAATCGTTTACTTCAGCATCGATGGAAGTTTGTGAAAATGCAACTGCACGATCTTTGCTGAGCTCAGACCTAGAAACAGAGCCAAGAGTCTCGCTGGCTTTGGATAAAACTTTGCTGTGGTTACAGGCGTCATGGGATCATGTGATGGCGCAGCTGATCTTTCCAACATCCAGCATTCTTGCTTTAGACCTCTTCTGCTGCACAATAACACATTTAGAGTTCAAAACATCATCTCCTTGCTAGGGTTGTCACTTATTGATACCAGAGTTATTGGTCAAGAGTTGTTGAGAAAACTCTGTCTCTTCCTGTGTTCCTGATTCTGCCAGGCTTCTTCCCAGCGGGCCAGCCCATCCAGAAAGCCTTCAGCATCCTCAGCTAAGGGATCTCTAAACAGACACAGTGTCTCCCTCCAGAACAAAGGCACTCTCTCTCCTACTCAGGACATCATGACATATCCGTCTGTTCCCCATGCTTGGGTTCTCAGCACAGTGAATTAAGGGGGAAATCAGGTCCAAGCTGGGCTCTGAGCTCCTTTGAGACATGTTGACAGAGAAATGTATGCGTTGAAACGACTTGAAAAGAACTCTAGGGAGGGAGAAGAACGGGAAAGTGTCAGTTGTGAGCTGCCACCCTCTCCTGAGATCTCTCTTCCCGTGGAGAGCACGGCTCTGGCTCTTCTGTGACCTCTTTCTTCCTGCAGGATAATGCAGGGTAATGGCAGGCAGCAAGTCAGCTGCTCTGCCACAGGGTTAGTCCTCCAGATAGATGAAAGGAAAGTGGTTTGGTGTCCAAATGAGTGTCATGGCTTTAAAGAAGAATTAAAGCCAGATGTTTTCAACAGGCTTGCTGAGACCAGCCTTTCCTGACATATTTACCAAGCCACCAAGGAGGCCCAGCCAGTGTCTGCAGAGCTCAGTGTTGGGAACACCCTGCAATCCCAAAGGCTCCACCGCAGTCGCTGGAGGCACCCTGGCTGTCTGGAAGGATGGCACACGAGCTGAGGTGGAGCTAGTGCTGCCAGCTCAATATTTATCCAGTATTTAAAAATATTCCTTGCTGATACTGGTGATGGTAGCAAGGTACAGTAACCAGGTCACATTTAGCACCTTTGGCCAAAATGTGGGTGAACTATGCTGGCATCGGCTCTAGTTTCAGCTGGGGGCTTGCTGGCACAAGGCAGTGTATTGTGGTTAACGGAGCTCAGAACATCATCCCTGTCCCAGGGACTGACCTCAAACCCCCTCAGACAGGCTTCTGCTCAGCCTAACAGACAGGCCAAACTTTTGCCATGCAGGGACTTCATCAGAACCAGGAAGAATGCATTTTATTCTTGCACCTCACATGTGGTGTTTGTATTCAGCTGTGACTGAAGCTAATGACCATTCCAGCGTGGGTAGAACAGAGGTAAAGTACTAGGAAAAGGGAACCTGAATCCTTGCCTCAGCGCAATCAGGGAGAGAGCAGCGTTTCCCACTTTGCAAGGGAGTAACCAAAACCTCAGAACTGCTGGGTGTGTGGTTCCAGCTCACACCCAGAAGTAATTAATCTTTTTGCCAGCATAGCTGCTCCAGGCTTCTGACTACAATAGGTATTGCTCTTTTGCATTTGTCAGTCTGCCTGGTGGTTATAACATTCAACTTCTGGCCTCGTAAGGACAAATTCCTGATGCTGTGCCCTCAGCGCTACCTCAAGGTGGAGTTTCCTCTTGCGAAATCAGCGGGTGCTGAAAATGTCCTGTTGGCTCTGATGACTGGGAAAGGCTTTGCTCGTTGTTTTAGATGTACGTGTCACGCTCCTCATCTTCCTCCTGCCCCATCCCCGCTGCTGGGATGCTGCTGCTCTAGAGTAGCAGGTAAGATGCCCTTGAGATCCAGTGTGCCACTGGATCCCTGTCTTCTGCTGGGGAATAAATGATAAATTCAGAAGGTGCCCCCAAAGCAAGCAAAAGTAAATAGAGCAGAGGAAAGTTAGGTAGCAGGAAATCCCAGTTTTTACTGGCATCCACTCATATCAGATAATTTGACCTATAACAAAAAATAAATCCCTCTGTAGTCCAATTCCACAAAGCTGGGCAAATGACTGCCATAAAAAAAAGGAGCTTTCTGCCATGCCCTTTATTTGTTCTCACAATATGACATCTCATTTCAGTGTGTGCATCAGTTCATTCTGCTCTGTAACATCAGGGACAGAAGGCACAATTGTTTCTGCTGTGATTCCAAAACCAACTGTCGAGAGAAGGCCTTTGGGAGAGCAGCAGTGAGCCAGACAGCAGCTCCCTGGCAGCGCTGGATGGAGTTCAAGGAAAGTTGTTTGCCTCGCCACCCTCCTGTAAGTTAACAGTAGATGGTGACTAACAGGAAAGAAACTTCACCATGGTATAAACACAAAAATGTATTTGCCTTCCAGATAGGTAGTAACTTTATCTGATTATACTGTGTTCTGTTTCTTGAATTGTGTTGCTTCTGCATCGCTCTCTTAGAAGACAGAGAATTATTGTTACAAAGCATGAATTATTTACTAGCCCTATGGACTGGCCCTGTTTTCCACCCCATCTGCACTTAAAGCCAATGAGGTTGTGAGTGTGGAAGGATTCTACCAAGACTGGAAGCATCTTGACTGACGCCCATGGCACTGATCACCACTGGGCAGTTCAGTTAAACGGGGGGGAGATCTTGCATAGGGCAGAACCAACTCCAGGAAAATGATCTGATGTGAGCACTAGCGATACTTAGGCCTGGTTTCAGCATCCCGAGGTCCTGGAGGATATCCAGGTACTCGCCAGGTTTGAAAAGGAGGCTCAGAACTATTTTGTGCTGCGATTTCTCTGTTGCTTTGATGGCTCAATTTAAAGTGATGAGCACACTAAAAATTAATGAGCAGATTTGGAGATAAAGAGGTCTGTAAAACAGGGATAATACTTAACTGCCTCACAGGGGGCATCAGGATTAATGAGTTAATGTTTGCAAAGTGCTTTGAAGATGAAAAGTGCTAAGTCTGATTACATCTGGTGGGTGAAGTAGATGAGAATGAAGAAGAGGTTCTCAACTCCATACTGTAACTATAGGGTCTCACTAAATATCATAATAAATAACGATCTGAAGCTGGTTTGCTCTCGTGCTGTCCCTGGCTGTTTGTAGCCAGGCAGCTCCTGGCTGAAGATGGGTTTCCAGAACAGATTCTGCAGTCTGTAAATAGTCATTTCTCATTTATTCTGCTCAAAGTTACTCTTTAGCTTGCTTTCATTCATGCAAGCGCAGAGTGATCCCTGCCAACATCCTACTGACAGGGACCCCAAGACCTGAAAACTCTATCCTTCCCCCAACCAACTGCCCTACAGAACGTGTTAATTCCCTAACAGCATACTTCCTGATCACCCAGGATCCCCAGAACAACCCTGGTTCCCCCCTAAATGTGCTCTAACAAGTTGTGTGGATCTTTCCCTGTTGCTCCGGCGAGAAATGGTGTCAAAGTGGGTTTTCCCTGCAGGAATCCCCTCTGTAGCATCGCTCCCCGTGGGTCTGTGTAACGCCAGCGAGCCGAGGCGCACGCCAGCAGGATTCCTGCGGTCGGAGCTGCCAGTTGGTGAGATTTGGCCCTTTCTCTGTCTGTCTGACACTAATCTCAAATACAACACGTCCCCAGTGGGAATATTAAACGCTCAGCGCACGGAATAAATGACTCGGGCTCCCGTGGGCTCAGCCCCTTCCCAGGATGATGAACTGTTGTGCCCAAACCCCCCCAGAGATGCTGTGGGCGAGTTCTGCCCGTTCTCTGTCGGTGCTGGCTGGAGGAAATCCCGAGTCCTGGGACGTGTTTCACCACTCCCACGGCTTCCCTCCTCATCCTCCGCGTCTCCCCACCCGCGCCCGGTCGTGGGAGCCCTGGCAGCCGCCCCGGCCCCTTCCCCGCCTGCGCTGCACGGCGGACATGGGGTCTGTAAGCAAGCGGGGGGGGGGGTGACAGGAGGGCCGTGACTGCCGGAGAGGGACGGGCCCCCCACCCCGGGATGTGCCGGTTCCTCCTCGGCAGTCGCCTCTGCCCGGCGCGGCTCCGCCAAACCCGTGTCCGTGGGCACAGCGTGGGCGAGGAGAAGGAGGTGCGGGGACCGCCTGGCTTTGCCTTGTTCAGCAGTGACCCCTGCGGGCCGCTGAGGGGCTGAACCGGAAAGAGGAAAAATGGAGGGGGGGGGTGGGGGGAACGAGGAAAATAAATTAAAAAAAAAAAACCAAACCCCACGCCGGCGTGGTGGGTGCGAAGACTGCGCGGGTGGGCGGCAGGTTATGCTGCGGAGAGGGACCGCGCCCGCCGCTGGGCGGGGGATACGCCTTCGTTTGGTGGAAGAAAAAAAAAAAAAAGTATTTCGGGTTCTGTCATTTAAAAAACAAGAAAAAAAAAACAAACAAACAAACGAAAAAAAAAACACCCCAAACCCTGGAAATTGCGATCACACCCCACGCCGGCTCCTTTCCCCGCGCCTTGTTTCGACGGGGCGGGACAGCCCACTCCCGCCCGCGGGGGGGCAGCTGCCTCACCCCCTGGCGGAGTGGTCCACCCCCTTCCCCCCTCCCCTCCAAAGCGTGGGACATGGGCCGTCCCGGCGCCGCCCGTGCCCCGGAAGCGCTCTGCGGGCGGCGGAAGAGGCGGCGGGCGGCGGAGGGCGGGAGGGGGCCGGGCCCGGGCGGCGGCGGCCGGAGGCGGAGCCCGGGTGTCCTTATCGCTGGCGCGGCCGGCGGCGGGCAGCGGGGAGCGGATCGCGGGCCCGCCGGCCTGGGGCGCGGGCTGGCAGGATGCTGCTGTTCGTGGAGGTGAGGCGCGGCGGGACGGCTGCGGGGCCGGGCCATGTGGCGGGAGGCCGCGCACGCCGCGCCGCGCCGGGGGGAGGGGACGGGGCTGACACAGCAAATCCGGGGGCGGCGGCCGCGGGCCCGGCGGGAGAAGGAGGAGGAGGAGGAGGAGGAGGGGAAGGGGGGGGGGGGGGGTTCGGCGCTCTGGAAGGTTCTGCCGGTGCCGGGGCCTCCGCGTGGGAGCGGCGGGGAGGGGGGGTGAAAGGCACCGCGGTGACCTTCCGGGGGAGCCGCCGCGCCGCGGCCTGCCGTGAAGGTTAACGCGCGGCGCGGGCCCTGGGGCGGCGGGGCGGGGGAGACGGGACTGGTGGGGCCTCCCGCGCCCGCGGCGGGGAGCGGAACGGCCCCGGTGCCGGTACCAGCGGGGGGGGCGGCCCGGCCCGGCGTCCCGCGGAGCGGCAGCGCCGGCGATTTCGCTTGGGCCCAGCCGCGGCGTCCTCGTTAAAGACGTTAATGAAACCCGCGGGGGTGGGGGGGCCAGGGGGTGGTTTATGGCAACGGGGAGAGACGGTTCGGCCGGCGGAGCGGCCCCGCCGTTTGTGAGCGCGCCGGGTCGGGCACCGCGTGGGGCCGAGGAGCTCGGGCGTGGAGGTCACCCGAGGCGGGCGGGCCGTGTCCGTCTGTCCGTCCCTGCGCCCCCCGGTCGCTTGGCGCGGCGGGAGGCGGTGTGCTGGCCCGGGCCTGCGCCGCAGCCCGCGCCGGGGCTTCCCTCAGTTACGGCTTTTCGCGGGTTTGGGTGAAGCGGTTTTCAGCCTTTGCTGGACGAACCCAGGCAACTGCAGTATTTCTTTAAACTTTGCAATAAGTTTTGTCCAAAAAGTGCACAAAGCAAACAGCTGCTGGGTTAATTAAGAAACAACTGAGGGAAGTGAGTCGACTGCTAATGGCGTATGCAGTTCACGTGCAGTGGTGGTGGGCTTTTACATGAATACCGGCAGATATTCTGCGGTTAAGAACCTCCAAATAAAAAGGTTTGGGAAACACCTTCTTTTTCTTAAACTGATTGCCTCAGTTTTGAACTGAATGTTACTTGACTTGTACTGAGAGGAAAAAAGATGTCACGAACACGGAATGACAGGTCTTAAGAATTTGGTTTTGCAGTATTTAACTTGAAGAGGAACTGTTCAAGCTAGTTGGAGCTGCAGCCCGATGACCGCAGCTGGGAGCTGCGAGCGGCCAGCCTTGCCCGAGGCCGAGCGCGTCGGAGCAGAGCCGGAGTGGAGCCCGTGGGACGGAGCTGGCCCCTCCGAGCAGCGGCCGTGCAAGGCACGTTCTGGAACCCGCAGTGGTGACATGGAGTGGTTGGGCTCTGGATGGGGCTCGGGCAGCTCCCGGGGAGCCGAAGCAAAATCAGGAGGCTGCGAAGCCAGGCAGCGCGTGTCTGGGTGCTTCATGAACCCTTTTAAAGCACAAACTTGACTTTGGTAGTTTTGTTTGAGCTTCTTCTTTCTCTTCTGTCGATGGCGTTGCGAGTTAGTTTCTGTGATCTTCATTCAGAGAACATCAATAATGTTTAATTTTGAGTTCCTGAAGACAAGCTAGAATTTCTGAAGATGCCTTTTTGCTGCCAGGACAGGGAACTTAAGGTCTTCCCAGGCACTGTGAAACACTGTAGTTGGATGCCTAGAAGCAGATGGCAGCTTTTCTATTGGGATCTTCAGGTTTGCCTGAAAAATAAGGTCCAGGATTGTGTTAGAAGTCCCAAAGGATTCGTAAGGATTAGCCGACTTACTTTAGCTGTCAGCATTATATTTTAGACTTAACTGAAGTGTGCACATTGTGATTGTGAATTGACTCCCTCTCAGTATGCACGGTGGAATTCTGTTTTCCTTGAATATCTTTTAGCTCAAGAAAAACTTGCTGCAGTGAGGGAGTGGTATAGGGCTTGTGCTATTTTTCATGCATTAATGTTTGGTGTAGGTCTTGTTTTCCACTGGGAGCCAGGGCCAGCATGCTGTTAACAATCAATAATTAAGGTGCATTGGGAATATTATTAAATGCACTGTGAAAAATGTAATTGCTAATGGCTTGCTGTGCCTGCTTTAGGTTTTGGTTCCTAATTCAATATATTAGTAATTTATTGGGAAAATTCAAATCTGTGCATTTCAGGTGGGTGAAACGCTGCCCTAATTGTTGCCAGCAATGCTTCCTAGCTAGAAAAACCACAACTGTGTGGAGCACTGAGCATTGCTGGCCCTCTTTCCTAGCAGGTGAGGCTTCCTGCTTCTCTCTGAGGTGCAAACCCCCCAAATTGTCCCTGCTCACACAGAAGCGATGGACACCATTGGCACAGGTGAGGGTGGTACCACCTTCCTACGGCACAACTGTGCGTTTGCGTTACGGAGGGATAAAGGAGGCACCCCTAGTCCTGGGGTGCTCGTGCTGGTGAATGGAAAAAAACCCAGGCTGCATTCAGTGGCAGTAACTCTTGTAGCCATTAAAGCTACTGGGTGTTTTGAGAATTCCCCGGGCTGTTCGGAGCACTCAATGGTTGTTACGTGATGTCCCGCAGGCAGTTCCAAAGGACCTCTGCCTGTTGCTTTTGGTTTGACATCCGCTTTCTCTCTTTTTTGGTTTGCTTCACAGCCTGGATAAGCTTTGAGAAGGTGACAGGTAACTGTACTGGCTTGTGCCCGAGTCCACCGCAGATGCGCGTTTCCCTACCTGTCGTGTCCCCCCACCAGCACAAGGCTTCTCTTTGCCAACCTCCCATAGGTTTGCTGACCTTCGGTGTTTTTTTTCTCTCTGCTTACACTTCCACTTCTGGAAAACGTTTGGATTCTCACATCCCAAGTTTGATTGAATTCTCTTCTAGATTTTTCAATTATATTCCCTTTTAGAGAGTCAGTCTGCTCTGGGAAATCTGTGAAAAGCTCAGTGTTACGATTTTGCTTCATGATAATTTGAATGCTTTAAAAGAAACTGAGCACTTTCTTGTTAGCTTAACTGAGTCTGCTAAACGTAATTTAGACTGTTACAATATTAAGAATATTCTTTGCCATCCTTTCAAATGCTTCAATAGTCAATTTTAAGGAATTGCTGGAGGAGAAGCTTTGATTCACATTTGCCAAAAGTACCGTAAACTAGAGGGAAGCTCTGCTGAGGAGGACAGCTTTGTCAGCTCGTGGATACCAGCGAGTGTTCCTAACCTTTGTAACTCTGTAAAGCTTTAACCTCATCATGAAAGTTCCCGATAGCAGCTGGGAGGATTGTTCTGCAGCCAATCAAATGGGCTCAGTATTTGTTAGCCTCAGTTAAATA